TGGTAGAGCTTAATGTCCATTGCCTCGTCAATATCACGATGCGGACCATTTGAGATCTAAGTACGAGTGCTGTACAGTCCATGACCTTGCACCTTATTTTTGTGCAACCATGTCAGACCCAGCTTAAAGCCACGAACCCAGAGTGAACAGCAATTGCTTATATATATAACTAAAAAACTAACCTGTGGGCACCGCTTCACCAACATACACCTCAGCACGGGCTATCCCGGAACACCACGCAAACGGCTCCCCCACACCATGGGCGTTGACCAAACCAACGTGGCACCGCGCCTATGAGCCGCTTCCCACGGGCGCTTCGTCCGCCCGCGGGGCTCTCGGAGGCTTCCAGGCAGGCTCCCGGAGCCACGGCGTGGGCGAAGGCGCCTGAGGTGCTGGCGCGCCAGCGCGCTGGCAGGCGGCTGGCGGGTGCGGTTCGGGTGTGGTGCTCCAAAGGAGCTGAACTCACCGTGTTGGCTTTTCAGCTGTGGATCCATTTGGTCCAAAGTCTCGCTTTTGGTTGATGTGGATACCACTTGTCAACATGTTCATGACCTGCCAGGTTCGGGTTGGAAAATGAGAACTTCCTTTACCAGGGTTCTTCAGTTCTAAAATTCAGTGGGACGAGTGCCCGCCAGAAGCTTTTCATCTATTATATACCTGTTCGAGTGCTCGGATGTGCTTCGAGAATTAGATCTGGACTATAGATCTGTTGAAAGAAAGCCGCGAGTCGTTGGCTCTTCCCACAGAAGCTGTGCGTTCCTGGGGGTCGTTCCATCGTTCGAATATGACGAGAGGTCTCAGCTGCCAGGGTGGTGGTTCCTCCTCGTTCGTCGCCCCTTTGCATGTCCTTCTTTCCGTCCCTCAACACACCTCTGGAGCCCGGTTCGAACCGCCGGTGGAACCTGCGGAGATGTCCATTTCCGGCGCGGAAGGTTCCGAGGAACCTTCGAAAAGCTTGAAAAGAACACCGTGCTACGGTATACATCCGAATCGACATCTGGAGAAAAAGAACATCTTGGGTGCGCCAAGTTAGACAATGTCCCAAGATGTTCCTTGTCCCAAGAAAATGGTCCCAAAAAGTGTTCACCTTGTCTTTTCACCCAAGACAAGAACATCGAGATTAAATCTTCGGATGGGTGGAACACCCCAGTCGCCCTACACCGAAGAGCGTCCTTCACCGACCGACGAGATCTTAACCGCTGTCAAAACGAAACTCGTTCTGCGCTGCGCAAGGGTTACGCTCGCTCGGGGGTGACCTTCATGTCTTCCAAAAGTAAACTGGGTTTACGAACTCGTCAGGGTCTTCCAACAGTCTTCGTCTGTTGACCCACAACTGGAAAGGCGCGCGCTTTTCAAAGCAAGCTTCTTGCGAAGGCAATGAGCTCTTCATCCGTCAAGTGAACAGACTTGAAGACCAGCACAGAATACCTCAGCCACAGAGACATGCTCAAAAACGGATGTTCCCAGCACTGCCCCCTGTCAACGATTAGGCAAACTGCTGCATGAAAGAGTCCACCACATACTGCGTATCCGTCTTGTGTCGATTCCCTACAAGGACCTTGACCAAAAAAAAACTTAAGATGATACGCAACAACAAAATGCCACCGTTCTGTACTTTCTGTTTGAGAAACCAAAATGCGGTTGAAAACGACTAAGCATCTACACCACCCAAGCTGGGATGATGACGGATGATGGATTCACGATTTTTTTCGAAGGGCAACAGCGGCACCAGGGATCTCCGTTGCAATGTCGTGTTGATTTTGTTGGGTTTTGTCCCTTCATCTTCGCCGCTTTTCCGATGAATGCCACGCAAGGACGGGCGATCTCCCTTCGTTTTCACATCCCAAAAGCGAGGACGGGCGACCGCCGGACTCAGGACGAAGAGGCTGAAGGAGGGAGGGTTCGTGGACGAAGGTGTGGAGTGTTTTCACACGGAGCCCGGAAGTCGGCGCTGATCAGGTTGATCCTCTCCAGTCAGTATACCCTAGGGCTCCAACCATATCCTCAGGATGTGGGCCAGGAGCCCCCTGGCACCCACCCCAACCATCTTCTCAGGAGGTGGGCCAGGAGCCCTAGGGATAGTTCATTTTGCATCCCAGTTGGCCTCCCGGTGACCCCGACCCAACCCACCCAGAACCGGGGGAAAACGACCCATCCACACGACGAATGTCGTCGTCACGTCCCGAGTCCCACCCGTCGATGACTTTCGAAATTGACTCCTCAAAAACGGTACCGGGCCTCCAATTGGGGTGTGAAAAATGGAGATCCAGTCTTTTGGAGACTCTTGATGAGTGAAAACTCCCATTTCAATTGTAAAAGCCACCTCATTTATAACCAGGCGGCGGTGTTTTAATCATGACTCACATGAAGTTTTGGTTGGAGACCCCATAAGAAAGGTGGTAGACCAATCTTTCAGCTTCAGAGAGGTCGTTGTCTACCCCACTCTCCAGCTGCCAACGAAAGCCGTTCCGACCAGGGGTCCCACCTCTTCAAGCCCCGTGGCTCTTCGAAGAGCCTCACCAGCTCTAAGACCTCGCGTGGCTGGAGCTGCCGCAGGTCCAGACGCACTTCTGCCCCGAAGCCCCAGCTCGTCAGCGGCACCACCTTCCGCGGCGACCGTGCCGCAGCGCCGGGGGAGGTGGTGTCGATGCGTTCACAGGCATTCTAGCTTACTAGTAGCGATGGCCTCCAACCTAGTAGCTAGACTATGATTAGACCAGGGTAGAAGTCAAAACGGATGTAATTGCTTTGAAAAAGTTGGGAGTTGAAAGAGATGCCAAAAGCTGACCGCCCAAAAATCCAGACCAATGAGTCATGTTGACCTCCGCACATGTGATCTGACTGGTGGGATGAGACCAATCAAGTTCCAACACCTCGTTTTGATTGGAAACAAGTCAGGCCCACCGCCAGAGGCAGATTCGCTGGGGATGGTCTACTTCTAGTCTACCACGTAGAAGAGACGGCGAAGAGCACATCATCTGGACCGAAGACTTGCATCTTCATAGCCAAGTGGACATCTTCATGTGGTGCCACCGAAACATGGTCCATCAAACCGGGCATGGACTCGCCCCCACGCCGAAGACGGGACGGCCTTCCTTGGCACAACCCGTCGCAAGGAGGAAGACCTCGATCCCTCACTCGCCAAGGTGGCCTCGGCGGAAAGAGGTCCCGTGCGGAGACAGGTCTGACGGGCCGGCCAAGTGCTAGATCCACTAAACTCTGACATCCACTGTGATACTGTATACCTGGATCTTCCGTTCGTATGCAGAAATTCTGCCGAACAAGCAATTATGTTACATAGTTGGATACACACAATTAGTTGACCCAGTTAATCTTGCTCACGCCAGTGCTCACCCAGGGACTGCTGCAGCTACCTTGGAAGCATGGAGGGTGGTAGGATGCCAAAACAACAGACATATAATATTGTTCATGACTGTTGATGCATCATATTACAGTTTTGCAGACTATACATACGCCTCTGGATCAGATAAGGTTGACCATGAAACTATGCAAACATGAACATGGTTTGGTCAACTAGTCAACTAGTAACTAGGGCCTAGGGGTTCTTCATGGTTCTTCGCCAATCTCGTGGTTGTTATTGACCCCCGACCCATCTCCCAACAAATGTATTGTATGGTCTGCTTCTGGGTTGCCCAGCGCAAGCGAGGTCGAAACAGTTGACATCGCCACCTGCCATCAAAGAATTGAATAGAATTGATTTAAAAAATTCTAGTTGCTTTGAAAAAAGCAGAATGTAAACGTGAGACACCAAAACACCAGCACCAGCTGGGCTAGTGGGCACCAGCTGGGCCACTGCCAAAGCGTAAGCCTGACGAAGACACAGGGAGCGCCAATTCCTGGAACCGAAGCCACCCAAATTGGCCTCTCCCACCTCTGGAGCCCTCATCCGAATGTGTCAGACTCTTGCACCCCATCCCAGCATGTTGGGCCGATGTGTTTGATGCAATCGCCCCTTCGCCTGGGAGCCAAGCAGTTCATGTCCCGAATCTGCAGTTTTGGAATCCTCACGAAGCTGGTGAAAAGGTGCAAAACTGCTGAGCCAATGGGCAATCATAGTCAATCTATGCATATAGCTCGTCCACTGATTGTACTCTTCATGATTGTTCAATGCAATAAATAATTACCTGTCAATCCAGCACCTGACGTACCCGGACACCTTTCCAGGTTCTCCTGAGACCCATCCAAGGAGGAACCCCCGGACGTGCCGCACTCCTCCAACCGCACCCGGAGGCCACCAGGTGCTGCGACCGCCACCGTGGCGAAGCGGAGAGGCGTGCGTCCATCTTTTTCAAGACCCGGAGATGGCGTGGCACTCATGGCGCAGGGACTCGCACTTGGCGCCGAAGAAAGATGGAGAAACAGGGGTTCTGAAAGCTGTGAAAACAACCTGAAAGTAGGGAGACATGTACAGTAACGGCAACCAAGAGTTTGGAGGTTCTCTTCCAAGAAACGACTCTATTGAAGCAGTCCGGGGCGATCGTGTCACAGCGGTTGGTCGCCCGGTTGCGGATGCGGCGATGTGTTGAAAAAAAGGGCAGAGCTTTGCCTCCCGTTGCTCTCTCGATGCAGCCGTTCAAGTTTGCCAGTCCATGTCTCTCTCTCTCTCTCTCTTTCGCTTGTGCATCTCCAAAGTTTGGGCAGCAAGTAGGCGTGCGAAATTAAAGGAGCAAATCCAACAGAAGAGTACCTGATCCTGGAGAACTTCGCCACAGCATCATGTTATCCCTGAAGTGCCATAGCTGGTCGTTGTCATGATTTGCACACTAACTTCAAATCACGAGGCTTAGATTCTTTGAGCATCTATCAATCGTTGTTGTTTAAAAAAGTTGAATATTAAGACATAGAATAAAAACAAAAACATAGAATACCTGCAATTTCAAAGGAGTTCTTTTTGGGTCCCTAATTCAGTGAGATATTGCGCACCGGTATACCCTCCAAGTTCAGCACCACCGGTATACCTTGGCAAACCCTTAGTGTGCCTGCTTCATCTTTTTGAAGCGTGCAGCCCGTGCAATGACCTGGCGACCGAAGGCGAAGAGCAGTCCGGGCTCGTGAGACTCGTGAGACTCGCTAGGAGCGATGCCCGCGGTGTCGGCGGCGCGCCAGAAGGTCATTCAACAGGAGCGGTCGGCTTCATGGTTTGGTTCTTTTTCAATGAAAAGAAAAGGTACAGTGTGACAGAGGGTGACCACAGTTTATAAGTCTTTATCACTTAGGACCAAGGGAGCTTTGGGAAGGCTTTAGTTGTCAATCGCCACCGAACCCGGGCCAAACCGAAACCACCTGACCCATGAACAGCGTGGGCCTCGAATGGCCTCACCCTCCCGACTCGGCCTGGTTCAGTTGTATGAGCCGATTGCGCTGCCACTTGGCCTCGGCGGCACAGCACCGTGCCGAAGAAGCGACCCCCGCGTATATCCAACCCCTTGGACCCATGGGACTAGGACAGGGACCCTGTTTTGGGGTGTTGAAAAGGGATCCATCGACCTAGGATCCCTCCCGGTCTAGGACAGGGCCTGATACTCGGTCTGTGATCCACCGTGTGCTTGGGTAGATGCTGATCAGGTCGCTCATTTCGCCAGTATGGGGGGCATGGATGGAAATTCCCAGACACCCATGGGACTGCCGTAGGACTGCCGATCAGTTGGAGTGGTTGACTGGGGATCAATGGGGCGGCAGGTCCTATGGCAGTCCCATGGAGTGTCTGGGATATGTTCCATGGGTCGCGGCTTGGGATGGTGACATCCTGCCAAACTGGTGCTGCTCCTTTTCCAAGCTTGAGCTCCAAGCGATGCCACCGGTGCAGGGTCTGGCGTTCTTGTTCAACGGCGGTTCCAACACATAAATTGTTTGCACCCTGCGACATGTGGCGGAACAAAAAGAGAGCGGCGACATGGGAAAACTTCGAAAGTGCTCTGAGAATCGGGCCATAGGCGCTCCCTTGGTCTTGGTGGCCTCCATGGCACCATTTCCCTGGCGGACATGTCACACGTCTCGCGGTCGGGAGCCTTCAGCAGTTCTGCTTCAGTGAGCAACGTCTCGTACCCTCGACCACCCCCCGAAGTTGAAGTTGATGTTGAAGGTGATGAAGGACGATGACGGACGCCTGTAACAGCCTATAGTATCTTGCCGGGTGGGGGGACAACCCAACTGACACCTTCTCACCAGCGGTTTGCAAACCAAAATGGTTAAACATGAGCCACATGACTGGCGATGGTCAAAGAATCGAAAAGTATCAAGCCTCGGCCTCATCCGGTTTTTTTCGCTTCATGGCTTCGCAAAGCGCATCAAAGCGCTCTCTTCAGTGACCGAGCTGTGACAAAAAGCATGGCCGTTTCAGCGTGTCTGAGGGTGTGTCTGGAGTTCATAGCTTTTCTTGATTGATGGCCACGCTCAACTTGGAAGATACATAGCCTACCATAGCTTCATGGGAGTACTGAGTACTGTTTCTTTGGGAGTTACATGTCATTCTTCGGTTCGAATTGCACTTTCGCGGCACTCCTCATGGCTGGCTTCGTGCGGCTGCGCATGGCAGAAGAGCGCCATGTCCAGTTGAGCTTTGACTGGAAAGAGCTGCGAAGTCCGTGGGCCATGGGGTGAACTCTAATGGGGTGTGCACTCCTACTCCTCCTGCAAAAAGCGGTCAACAGAAGGGTCTCAAATGGCCAGGTCTCCAAATATTTTTTGACCTGGTCAAATTATGTGCATCACGTCCGTCGTCCGGTGTGGCAAGTTCAGTTCAGCATGGACACAGAGAGACATGGATATACTGATTTTGCTACACCGACCATACTCACTGTGAGTTTTTGTTGGGAGAACGTGTTCAGCACGGCTGGTGCATCAACAATATGCGTTTTTGGGGGAAATACCACGACAGCACCGAACTGGACCCAAAACCACCCTGGTGAGAACTCTGACTGTCTCACTATGGTCATACTGGCCGATGAAACCTCAAGAAAACCAGTTGAACCTCGGCATGCAGAGGTATCTCCAGGCAGCGTACACTTTCTTCCCTTGGAGTCCACGTCCGAGCAAGGAAAGACTCGGTCTGGTCTGTAGGGGCCTCTATAGAGGCTGAAAGTAAGAGTTCATTATAGTGAGAGCGCAAATAACACTACAACTACAACTACATTATATTAATGTATATTGTGTATATATATATATATAAGTGTTATACCTTGTTTCAAGCTGTTATCCCCTCCAAATCTCGCATGTTCTTTTTTTCTACCCGCAGCTCAGCCAGGACCCTGTTGCTGCAAACACTCAAGAAGCTTGCTCCAGCTTGCATCCTGGCAAGGTGAGTGGCGACTGTCCAGGTGAGTGGCGACTACTCAGGTCCTATCCTTCGATTCTCCAATGGCCTACGATGTGCTTTTGTCTCCCAGTGGAACGACTCCTGGCCTGAGATGGCAAAAAATAGACTTTAGCTCTTGGAGAGTTCATGAGTGATTTCCAGTGCTGTCTTCACGACTAGTCTTTCTCAAAAAGAAGTGGATGGTGCCATCCTGTGCCATCTACACTCCTTGGACCCCTTGGATACCAAACAGCCACACCGTGCCCACGTCACCCTGATTCTTCCAGCGTCTCGGCTAGCTCCAACGGTTTTCCGAAACCCTCCTGCCCAGCTGGTCACAAGCTTCAGCTACAAGGCAGAGGCTTGTGACCTGGGAGCATCAAGTGAATTGAGCTTCACACTTAAAGTGACTTAGTACTCAACATGTTCAAGTTGAATGAGTTGAATTCGATCTTTGGAGAAAAAGTTGTCAGCTTGTTACTTCAATAATGCAAGTTGACAAAACACAGGTTCGTGATGATAAAGCTATCAAACCTCATTCGGCCCATACATACGCTGGAGCTGTAGAAAACCCTGCAACCTCTCCCCTCCAACCCTCCATGAGACTTTTCAGAAGGCACACCGCACCAGGACGCAGGAACCGGTGGACATGTCAAGTGTTAGAGACTGTACAATGGCAGCGCTTAACCTGCCAAGGAGCATCAGGATGCAAACCTCAGAATTCAAAGTTACTCTTGGACTGTTTGCCATTTGATCCAGGATTTGAAGGCATTGCCAAACACAAGGTATTGGCTTCTTGGGTATCGAGAGCTTCTTGGGTAAAGTGACAGGAAAATACAGGAAGCATAGCAAAGCAAGTGGGTATGGAAGGATCTTAGAGTCTTACCAGTCACCAGTCGCATCACTGTAAACTTCAGCATCTGAGGTTGAGCAACTGAAGCTGCCCATGATGCAAAATAATGTGTCAAGGTTCTTCGCACGAGTGGTCTGTGGGTCAAAACCTGGAGCCCACTTCACCCTAGTAGGTTGACCATGTCTTGTAGTCTATTTGGTTCATTTTTCAGTGGTCAACCCGGGTGCCCCGGTTTGGACCCACAGCCTTAGTTGATCGGATCTGTTTGGCAAGATGTCTGGAGTTCAGGGGATGCTCTTAATTCTCCAATGTTTAATCCTTGAATTGATAACATGCATGTATGCCTTCCTTCATTTATACGACATTAAAATCAATTAGTTGCGCAAAGAAACATTTATACTTAATTGATTCGTCCTGCAAAGGAATTCCGAAGGATTCAACTGTCCACGCCTGAAAAGACCCTGGCATCTTGGCGACCCTGGCGAAGCTCATGCATCTCATGGAAGAAGGCCAACACCAAATTGGGCTGCGGGCAAGCCTGGGTGTCCAAAGTGACCGTGATTGCTTCAGTTGTAGATCCTCAGATCCGCAGATCGTATTCCTGACCAGACATGACCAGACTCCCTACTCCGCAAGTCCTTAGATCTTTGGGATGATGACAACACGAACAGCTGACATCGGGGGTGCAGATGTCTGCACATCAATGGCTTCAGTTCGAATCAAACAGGTGCCAAAAAAATACGTTGTTCACTGTCAAACATAGTTGGTCATGATCGAACATAATTCCAGAAACACTAACATAGATGTTCAAACAATCAGCAACATAAATGTGAAATATCAAAGCTATTGGCTGGCTAGTTCTATAATGAGTTGGTTCTTTGTTTAGTTGGTTAGGTAGTTCACTAGGTCGCCTCCATGATGACGTTGTAGGCCACCAGACCAGGAGGTGGCAAGTGAGGAAGTCCTGAAATGGTAGAAGCATGCTACTCGCTGCCAATCTTATGAGTAGAAGCTGAGTAGCTGCATGCTACCGCAAGTCACTAGCAGTCCGCAGTCCACAATGTCGAGGTCTGCACGCACGCACGTCGTCCGCAGAGAACGGGGGACGTCTCGTCTTCCTTTGGCACCGGGGGTCCGACCGTTTGTCCCACCGAGGTCTATGCAAAGCAGCTGCCAAGCAGCCAGGTCAACCTATACCAGGGTGAAGTGACGGCCATTTTATTTGGGACAGGTTTTGCCCCACCTGTTTTCAGACGGCTGTTGCTGCGCAACGCGGAACGCCGGTCCTAGCAGCTGCAAGGCTTGCTGCCATGACGCCGTGCCGCAAGCGGCACAGGCATTGTTCAGGGTCAACCTCTTCCAACGCCGGCATGAGGTGTGGCAGGTTTTGGATGGGTTTTTGGATGGGTTTTTGGGGAGTGCAACAAGGGCAACAGACCTTGGTGTCGTAGAAGGACCGCCGCTTCCAAGAGTTTTCAGGACTCAAGAGTAGTCGATCAGGAATCCTTCAGAAGTTCGTGATCAAATGTTTCTCCTTCAAGTACGTAGGTCATCGATGAATGGAAGCTCTTCTGTGTCCAGCCTATCAGCGCACAGCCCTCCGGATTGCAGTTGCTGAACGAGGTATGTTGCCAAAGGCCATCCATCCACCTGCCAAGCAAAAACACCACTGTCACTGGAGGATTGCTAAAGGTTTAACATGGGAATCACCACGAGAGCAAGAAACGCCATGGGAATCACCCCCTGTCTTCAACCTCACCACACGGACTCATTGGACCCCAAGAAATCCAACGAACTGGAGTTCAAGCAACTCGCAGCTTGAGCAGCAAAAACCTCGGACACATCCATGAGCTCACGCCTCTGCTGCCGTCTCCGCTCGCCCAAGCCCGATCCCTCCGATCAGCGCATTGAAGGATTGCAGGTCTGGTCGAGGTCCTGAGCGGCACATCTCCTCCAAGAGCCTCCTCCCTTGCCTCACCTGGCACCGCCGGCGCACGCAGGCCAAAGGTAAATAGAGCCCCCAAGAAACAACAGCGCGCACGCATGGAAGCAAGATGAAGCATGATGCAGCTTGATGAAGCTTGGATGTTAAAGGGATCACAGGGATATCACAGGGTGTATTTGAAAGGGGGAGAGGATTGAAGCTGAAAGGAATAGGGAATGAGAGGGAGAAGAGGTCGTGGGTGGACTAGGCAAGTGATTGAAGGTGCAAAATGTCAGACCCAGGTCGTCCCAGGCGACAAGTTCCACCATACATTTCGCTTCTCAGAATCAGCTGGGAAATGCACCTGCTTTGGGAATGTGGAAAAGTTCCACATGTCCCAAATCATGTTTTTCCATGTCTCGAATTATGGGGATTCTCTTCTTCCAACCCATGGGAGATGACCCGCACCCTTTCCACCTGGGATTCCAATACCTGGATTCCTTCCGACCTCCCCGCCTGTGCTGACCGAGCCAGCGCTGTGATGGCCACATTGCAAAGACCTGTGCTTCTGGGTATCCGCTGAGAAAATCGCTGCTCAGGAAAGCCCGAGTGCACGCCACCACGAGAAGAAGGGGTGCAGTACCTGTGGAAGACGTCCAACTTTGAACTGTGCAACATTCGACTTTCATGTGGGTTCTTTGATTCGATTTGTTGCACCGAAGTGACTTCGACTTGGAACTTCGACTTTGGGTCTGGTTGTTCGCCAAAAAGGTATCTATGAATGCACAAGCCTTGATTAGGAAAACAGAAAAGAAAGCAGATCATGTCGGTGAGTCTGATACAGCAATGACACACACAGATCACTTTTCGGATGACTGAATTGCGGTTGTGCCATGACCTATGAAGGCCACTGGACGGACTGCTAGTCAGCATGGATGGCGTTTTCATCGTGTAGCCAGTGCTTCTAGTTCGACGAAAACCACCAACATCCCCAAACCGAACGAATATCCTGGTTCCTGAGAAGCGGCTGCCTGGGATCCTCTGCACTACTGCTAGCAGTACCCTTTTCGCTGACTGCGCTGATCCGCCCGCCTCAAGAGCGCCAGCACGCGTGACCAAAGTAGTGCTAAGCCCGCTGAGTGCATGGAGGCGCCCATGAGGATGCCATCCACTGAACCGCCGTCGACAGCGAGACTCTTCGCCACCTGCGACGTGTCTCTTTCTCTCTTTGTTTCTCGTTTTTCGGGGAAAGTCTTCATGAAATGGAGATCTTGCCATCTGAAAGAACAAATATACATCGGAATCATCATGGAGGTGGATTTCTTTCAGGATTTTCTTGTGATCTTCCCTCCAGATTCAAGTGAAGCGACATACTAGAAGCATGACTCAGCTTGGACATCCGGTCATGGTCCGATTCAGGTCCACTGTCTGTTCTGAACGGGGGACCAAATCATGTACTTGGGGACGGGCGCTCTTTTGTCTTGGCTCGAAGAGAATCATCTTTCACACGTGCAGCTTGAGAGGAGGGGGTGGACCAAAAACAGGTAGCCAAGGAAGACTCAGGTAAGAAGACTCAGCCACCTTTCTTGAAAACAACATCAAACCACCTCCAAGGCAATCTCCCAACGTTTGGCGCAGCAAGTGCTGACAGCCGCAGCCAGCTCAGGACAGCAATCTCCCAGTCGTCGCTGACGCAAAGTGCTCGTCAATTCTAAAGAAAAGCTCCAGTGGCACGGCCTTCGCGGATGCCAATGTCAGACATACATTAAAACACATTTAAACACCCCCATTTGAATTGAATAAACCTCTTCATGTGGAGGCTATATCAATCAGTCTAAATGAAAGACAAAAAGAATTTGGGAACCCCTCACATTGGTCCCTGAACAGAATTCGAAGACTCTTCAAAGGTCCATCCGTCGCACGTGAATGACTTCTCTCTCTTTCGGTGGCTGTCCCAGGTTCGACTTTTGTGGAGTCCAACGGTCCAAGGCATTTTCAATAAACGAAAAACATCCCAAAAAAGATACATCCCTCAGGAGCGACATGTTCAGGATGTCGAGTGATTTGGGAGTCCTCCACCTACATCCGGACCTGCTTTCGCCCAGAAACTACTGTATTCGCCGCCTCGTCGCGTTCACCGCGTTCACCTGCCAGGAGGGCGAGGACATCGACGTGGCCAGCGCCGAGCAGCTCGAACACGAAGGCGTCCACGGCTCCGCCGCGTCGAAGAGGTGCAAGGCGCGGGGCCACGTGCGGCTCCTGCGGTCGCCACGCAACCAGAGCGCAGAGCACTCCGCCCAAGCGGTGGCGTCTGGGGGGTTTCCAACCAACCAACCAACCAACCAACCTACTAGCGATGGCCTCCAACCCAAGAGTCAATGATGAGGCCAATTGGGAGAACCCTTCAAAAACAATAAACACAAGTTACGAACACAAGAGTCACAAGAGTGCAAACCATCATCCAGGATTGGCTCAGCAAGAACCCTTCGTCAGCGCTGGTGGCCAAGGGGGAGAGCGTAGTTGTCCAACGATGGACATGGATCATGACAGATCAGGATCTTCACAGGATCTCAGGCGCTCCAAAACCACTGATCCGATTGGCTGAACATCGGAACATCTGGTCACGATTACTTTTCAGTCTCCACTTGCGAACGACATGGCCATCGGGTGTGAACAACATCGGGTCGATGGATATGTGTTAACCAAACGAACTTCCGAACCTGCAGCCTGATGCCAACCTGTTGAGGAAATCATCAGCGTGGGGAAATCTTCGCTGTGGTCATAGATGCGACTCCTGGCACTTGCGCTCAAGAGGGTATTCACTGCCACCACGTCCACGTCGACTCCAAGTGTTCTTTGAGCTTTCTCCCACGCGCCCTGGTCTGCCAGCAGCGCAGAGGAAGCGCTGCGGAGAAAGAGGTGAAGACGAAGGCCTGGAGGGACGACCGAGCGTCGACCGGATGTCTAGTATGATACATGGTGGGTGTGTCTTCCAATGGGGAGACCTCTCAACCTGGACCACCTGGGTGAAAGAAAATAGACCGTCTACCCGGCCAGGGGCGAGAGGACTCGGGGGGTCTCCCTATTACACACCCATGTCAGCGAAGCCACATGCCCGAACGAGTTACCAACTCGGCATCGACGTCGGACTCACGGGACCGGCATTGGGCTGTGGCTGGACAAGCTCAAGTCCAGTGGGTGCCAGCAGGAACTATCAGCCTGTCTTAAAGGGAAGGACACCTGTAGCTTGCCTATGTCTTTTTTGAGTGGCTCACATGCTTCGAAAAAAACAAGGGGGGCGCGCTCTTCGTCTTTCACCTCGCGCGTCTGTTCACTGAAGGCGTTGAAAAAACACTCATCGCTTCCGTTGGACAACGCCAAAACGCATCGCTCACCTTGTGCCTGTGCATGTTGAAGAGTCCAGATGCCTCGGGCCCATGAGCCCGACTTGAGTGCCTGGACGAGGGCGAAGAGGAAGATTCCGCCCCGGTAGCGGTGCTTGCTGCGTTCTTTTTTTGGAGCTGAAGGTGAGAAAATGGAACTTCAATGAACTTCAGGTATACATCTTTTCGCTGAATCCATCAGCGTTCAGCATGTAACCTACATCCAAGTTCGAAGTGATTCTTGACTCGGTTAAGGAACACGGCCAATAGACCGTCAATGAATCCATTCTCACTGGTCTTTATCTTCAAATATCTTCAATGGTTTCCCCTTGAGTGTCTTCAGTGCTGGAACTCGTGTGTCTGTCTGCCTTTCCCATGTTTCCTCAACAGGCCCATGGGGGGTTTCACCGAAGTCTCTACACGCCAAAAAATTCTCTCTGACAAGTCGCAGAAGTGTAGCTAATAGAGTTGACTCCTCAGACGGGCAATCCAGCGGAGCCCCTGAAAAGACGGCGATGAAAACCTCTTCTGGAGGCTCCAAAATCTGGGACGAATCCCTGGACCGACATCTTCCACTGAGTGTGTGTGTGTGTGCGTGCTTCATTCATGAAATTCGGGCCCCCAAAGAAAACTCCCAGAACATGGGGCTCGGACTTCCAGGCCCGTCCTATATTAAAATAGAATTGTTAAAGAAACAACATCCAGGACCTGGATTCCAGTTAAACCCCCACTCACCACTCCTTTTCACCCGTACCTTGCAGCTCCCGCCTGCCCATCCTAGGTGCCGACCCCTCTCGCATCGTCCAAGCATCGGAGCGAGAGGCTCTTCGCTGTGGCGACGAGCTGCACAGCTTGCGTCCAATGATGCTTCTGGCCTCGCCGAGGCGCTTGTTGCATCGGTGGAGACGTGGGGATAGCCGTTTGGAGTCCGATCTCGTTCTCGGTGCCTTCACACCCTCAAATCATCTAAAAGCCCCCTAGGGCCCCTTGGATTTGGGGGGTCCAAAAGGTTCAGCTCCAAGGGTGTGAAGTGCTGATGTTCTCTACGAAAAGATCCTTTCAGCGACTGTGAAACATTCAGCGACGAGGCTTGTGTCAGCGTCAACGCAGCTCGGTTGCTAGAGGCCGTCAACGCGCCATTGCATGCCACGATGTTCGCATGGGCGCGGTAGTCCTCACAATAAAAAGTTTCACGAGTCGTTTCACTTTAAGATATTTAAGGAAAAGTCAATGAGTTCATCCACCAGCAGAGTCTAACGAAACATGCGCAAATGTTTTGTGTACACCAGCAAAAAGTGCTGACCTCCACATAGATTTATGCTTGGACATCGTGTACATGATCATGCTCCATCCAATATTGGACCATCATTTCCAAGCTTACAGCTCTTCAACCTCTCTCCTTCAGTGTCCCCATGGCACACCGCTCATGCGCTCGCTGCCTCTTCAGTCCTGCAGCGTCGCTAACACAGCAATGGCAGGTTCCCAGGCTGCAGCTTTGCAGCAAGCCCCAATCGATGTGGCGGCGGATGGCAAAGTCCTTAGCCTTACAGGTCAGAGTTCGGTTGAAGAGAGGGACAGTTGTATGGCTGAATGGGAATTCCCCCGGTAGGTGAAAAAAAACACATGGTGCCATTGGTTGGAAGGTCTCTGTTGTCGAATTGCTAACCTACTCCCAGACGGGCTCCAGTCGTACCTCAGAAGGTATTTTGACTTTAGACCCTCCAATTCCACCCCAGTCCTATCTCCGAAACAAAGGTACTTGCGTTTGTATTGCAATGGGGAGACCCCCCACCCAATGGGTTTCAATCTATTTCCCTTCTTCTTGCCTGGGAGGTCTCCCAGTTTGAGCTACACCTACACACCCACTTGGAGCCCCAGGGACACCTGTTGAATCAATGATCCACGTCTTCTTAACTTGACAAGATCTGAGTACGTAATGTCAAAATATGATGATCCACCACCACAAGTGAGAACGCAAACATCGCCTTTGGATCGCTTGCTGCCAAACTCGATCGCGCCCGGAGTTCGGCATGCCATGGCCTGCCATGGCTCAAAACGATGCCAGTTTTTCCTCACCAGGTCTATGACTCCCCAGGCGAAAGAACGAAGACGGTCAGCTCGACTCGAAAAGCACTCGGTACCCGCTTTTGGACCCCGACCTCGCCTGTGTGGGTCGCCTCTGGCGATGCCCCTCCATCTCTCATGCTGTTTGAGGCATCCGCTGCCTCTATACATCTCTACCTGGACCCTCCAACAGGTGTTTCCTGGTGACAACAGGTGCCCAGAAGCCACCTGTTAGGCTTCTAAAACCACCTGTTGGAAGGTCCTGGTATATGCTCAATAATTACATGTCATTTGATGTTCAAGGGCCCGAAGGAAGGCCCAGTCACATCATCGAATGGCTGTTCCCATGCAACACTCAGTCTCAAACGATGAACGTGTCTTTTTCTGCGGCCAAAAAAAAAAGTGGAACAAACTTTGAACAAACAGCGTGCAACATCCCAATGACCCTAGAGCTTCTGTTCACGTCTTGAACTCGCGCACTTAATTCAATTTCCTTTGGGCCGTCATGTTGACAAAAAAAGGCACTCCGACCTCTTATCATCGATTTAACTCGAGTCATGGAAGGACACCAGACATGTGCTTAGCAGCTTCATGCATTCAGAAACAAAACGGAGCGTGATCTGTGCAATTCCGCGACCGAAAAGCTTGCGAAACTCCTCACACCCCAAATTCGCTCCATCACCCAGATCGACACCACTGCGAGTTCGCATGCGAACGCGCTGCACAGAAGCCGCCATACGCTCTGCGCGCAGACGTCTTGCGTGGCACGTCTTTCTTCAGCGAAACCTCTGCACATTCGCTGCAGCGAGACCGGAGCGAAAAACCTCGGCTTCGCGCTTTTTCCCGGTTGGCGCGGTCGAGCGCCGGACCTCGAGGTCCGAGGTCCCTCTCACGGCGGATCGTCCCACGCGGATGGAGGAAGCCATGGTGTTGACCCGGCGAAAACGGAGCTGTTTTGGAGAGTGAGCAAGATCTGCAAAGCACCTTCCAGCAATCTTGGTATAATGTATGTACCTGGAACCCAGACATGACCTCTGTTTGGGCTCCCAAACGGGCAAAAAAAGAGAGGTCATGCAGGTGAAGAACGGAAGTTGGAAGCTTTCACCGAAAGAAGAAAAGAAGCCGGATCTGGTGGGCCTTCGACACCTTCACGAGATGTGGCTTGAGAGGTGTTTTTGGTGCCAAACTCTGTTCAAGCTCCGATCCAGCACCACCCATTTGGGTGGTGGCACAGACCCTCCCAACGATGAATGGAACATTGCATCCATCACCACCCTTTGGATGATACTGGTGATGGGTGTTTGTTTGTGTTCTGACGTCATAACAAGAGTGTGTTCTTCTAGGAGCCGGCGTTTTATCTCCAAAGCCTGACCACTGAGCTTGGAGCGCAAAATTGCTGGAGCTGGAGCCTCAATCCTGGCGCAAGCACAACCCCTCTCTCTCTCTCATCCACGTCCAGATCAGGAGCCTTTGTAACAGTCCGAATTCCGACCCTCTTCGCCCGGACTCTTCTCATTCTTCACTTCATCTCTGGGGGTTTTCTACTCCAAGACGTAACCCAAAGACCGCCCCTGGGTGCAGGGATCAAACACCCAAACCCTGGCGATCATCTGCAGGGTCCAAGCCATCCCTGCCTCCGCCCTCGCCCGAATCGTCTGCGTTTCGGCGCCAAGAGGCTGAAAACCCAACGGCATCCAACGGCTAATGAGCCAACAAGTCGTGCCAAACAGCCCAAGACGTGCCTTGTTGATCCTTGTTTTTCTGTTCTTGTCCAGCCATTCCCCACAACACCGAACCCCCAAAGAACCATGTCTGTCCTCGGCTCTCCGTAACCAACACATGGGGTTCTTCTTGGTGGCCGCCACATCCTGCTGGAAGCTGAACAGCTCCTGACCCGAGCGAACCAAGCGAACCGAGCGGTCAGAAACGACCCGCTTTCACCGCTCCGTGCGCCCAACAACTCGGTGTTCTCACGAACATGAAGAGTAACCAAGAGTGGCGGGCGGTTTGGATGAGACATTTGTTCAATCACAAAAAAGGCGGGAAAATGTGTGTCACACCAAACAGAAGCACACGCCAAGGTCAAAGACAGTGGCCATATGTGGCAATTGTGTGTGCTTTTTTCCCCCCATGTTGTTTTGGTAGTTTGGTATCTTCTAGAGTTTGGATCAATGAACATGTCTGAGACGAGATCTTCCACACCCCAGTCACGAAACCCGTGAGGCCATGGCGGCCATGCGCCATGGCCACTGATGTCGGACTCGCCGGATGTCACAAACTCCGAGGAAAACGTGTCAGAACGTGTCGGAAAATCCAACCAACCAATGTAGAGTAGAGGTATCCCGAAAGCAATTATAGAGGCAGTCCTTGTCCCCACACGAAAAATGGTGTCAGGCAGGTTGGACACTCTATTCATGCGTAGCTGGGGTAAAGCAAAAAAAGTTGTCTTGTATCCTTGATGAGCCGGATGTTGTAGAGCAAAGCTGTCCATCCTGAGCAATCAAGCATCATGAGTGTCAGTGTTGGGAAGTTCGAACTCTTTCTCGACCTCAACAATCGAGAATGGCTCGCTAATGAGCAAACAGAAATGGCTTAGAGTCTTAGTTTTCCTCCCTGCTCATTCTCCGGAGCATACATCTCTTTGAAACAAGGTCAGTCCCTTTCCCCCATTTCCCACTCGCCAAGTCACTCTCACATCCAATACCCCAGGCAATGACTGTTACATCTTCCGGCAAACCCATCGGCAGCAACCTGACGCCGCCGCGGACAACACCACCGCCGGCGACGGACGTCGCGCTCCGTCGAAGGGCCCACGGACTGACTGAAGAGTGACGCTGAAACGACGGAGTGAAAGTGGGCTTGGGGGAAGTCTATCACCACACGAGCCCATCTTCCACATGTACAACGTTGTAATTCTGCAATCTCTGAAGACTATATCATATCTTATAACGATCGTCAACTACAGGAACTTCCTGAAAACTGCGGTGGCAAAGATCGTCGGGCTTCTGCGGAAACGAAGTTGTGATAGCTGGGGTACGGTATACCCTCCCTCCAACAATCATGGAAGCTGACCAGGACCCCTTGTAGAGGAAAACTGTCTTCCAGGGGCCTATGTTCCACTTCCATGTTAGTTCCAGGGAGTGTAGTGGGTTGAGAGTGGATGGCACAAATGTCCAATTTCGGTGGTTTCTATGGGGCCCCCATCTGAAAGACATGAAAGACATGCCCTCGAACCTCTGAAACCAATGGAAGGGTGCAGCTTACCAAGTCAGTCAGGGACATAAGGGACTGATCGTTGGGGCACCTCTAAATACTCCAGTCGTTGGACCGTTGGAACTCCAGTCGTTCAGTCACGGTCTTTGTGGACTCCTTCAGAGCGGTGCCCAGGCCCTGCCCAGGCCCTGCCCTTCCCAGGCCCTTGCAACGAGAAGTCCGGAGCCCGTCGAAGGCGTCGCTCAGCGCGTGTCTTCTCCGAGGAACATTTCAGGTCTAAAGACACCACTGTTGCCGACCTCCGTTGGGATGTCGGAGAATGGCACAGAAGAGAGCGACATCGGAAGAAGAAGGATGGTTTCAATTTCTGTTTGTCATGTGCCCTGACCAAAAAAATTGGGCAACATGTCCTGGTGTGTATCAAAAAAATGACAGCAACTGCTACAACAGTTCATGAAATCCCTTCGGTCGGTAGATTGTTGCAGTTCATATCCTTGCGATCTTCTCTCCCAACATCTCCCCGCCTTTTGATGCAACTCTTGGTGTTTTGCTGCACCGACCAACCGCCAAACAACGCACCCGAAACAGCCGCCGCCGGTGTCTGCCGCCCGGTTTCTGCACCTCGATCCATTTCTTGAGGATCGGATGGAAGCCTCGAGGGCTGAGGATCGACCAATCCCGGCTCCAACTGTTTCGCTTCGGCCAGGGGTGGATGGATGCCAGGGCGGTTCGAGTACCGTGGCTTTGGGGGGGGGTTGGATGTGGGGACGTTTCGGAGCCCTATAGGGAATGGTTCTTATGGTGTTTTTTCCCCAAACAGTGTGGGCACACTGAGGGGTTCTTACGGTAAGTGAAAAGCAGCTGATGCTTAGATCGCTGAAGCGCGCGGGCGTGAACGATTTACAGTACATTCATGCCTCTCGACATCGTCAATGTGCACTTCGACTGCACAGGCTCGCAGCATCTGGGTGGCTGGAGCGTGCTTGTCACGACTGCACTCTCGTTGCGGTGCCGCGCGCATTTTGGTACATGGTGGTCACTTTTCGTGGCAGGCGCAATGGTGGTGATCGTCGAGGAGCTCAGATTTGTGACAAGTGCAATGAATCGTGACTTTTGGACATGTGGCTCGTTTGCAGATTTCGTGGCAGGCACAGCAATCTGTGACCCTCGATGTGCAGATTTCGTGGCAGGCGCAGCACTTTGTGAACCTCGAAGTGCAGATTTCGTGACGGATACAGCACTTTGTGAACCTCGAAGTGCAGGTTTCGTGGCAGGCGCAGCACTTGGTGAACCTCGAAGCGCAGATTTCGTCGCAGGCGCAGCACTTGGGTGAACCTCGAAGTGCGGATTTCGTGGCAGGTACAGTACGCTTTGTGAGCCTCGAAGTGCAGATTTCGTGGCAGGCACAGCACTTTGTGAACCTCG